ATCATATGGTCTAGATATTTTATCTTTTGCCACTTTAAGACTTGCTCTAACTTTGTCTTTTTTATAGTACACTATTTTAGTATCTGTTACATTGTTAAAATGAGTGGGAAACGTTATTTCTGACAATGCAACTCTCCATTCGCCTTGCAGATCGATATCTTCACTCAGCAGGTTTTTAAAACTCGCTAGTGAGTTGTCAATGAAGATATTCATTGAGGCTGATGACACCAATGTAATACTAAAGGAGTCTTTGTCACCTCCAAAGTTGCTAGACATTGTTTAGCTTGACCCTTCCTTTTCCAATACTCTGATTAGTTCGGGCTCTTAAAATTTACCCTCTATTGGTTCTCTATCAGCGTCGATAAGATTATAAGTCGGTGGGTTCCTTGTTGGTATGTCAAATATTTCAAAAACTTCGTCAGTGAAGGATTGTTTATAACCTTTTCGAAAAGGGATGTCAATTTTTGCTATTCTCACAAAATCGCCAACGTAGAGCTTTGGTCGGCGAACCAGTTTCAATGATTGTTCCGCTCTTAATGAAATTAGACGTGGAACATCCTTTTTTGTCACTTTATTGGGGGCTAATTTGATGACGCGGTTTGTTCTCGAATTTATTGTGTTGACAAAGTCTTGAAGCTTATCGATGTAAGAGTAGGTCCATTTGTCCTCCAAATACTTATAAATCAAACTTTTTAGTGATCGGATGTTCCTCTCGGCGAAAGCGGACTTCTTTTCACTCTCTGTTGTATATGTCTTGATACCCTTTTTCTCACATAAAGTTTTGAATGACCCCTTGAACTCGGTGCCTTTATCTACCCAGACTTTTTTCGGTTTCTCTGTCTTTATCATTTGATTGAACGCTTCTGCAGTTGTTGTGGCATACTTTGATTTCAGTGGCTGCACGCGAAGATAACGGGACATGCAATCTACTGCAACTAAAAGATATTTGATATCTTTGTTGTATTTTGCTAGTTTATCAACATATGCCAAATCGATTGACCATATTTCGTTTATGTCATAAACTATCACTTTAAGCCGAGCTATTTTGCGGCGAACTGTTCGGTATTTTGTATAAGATGGTTCTGTATGTAAAAAATGTTTAACTTTTCGTCTTGGTATGACCGTTGTAGCCTTCAAAGTTTTAACACTACCGAACAATGCTGGACCTTTATCTGTGTAACTCTTTTTCAAAAGTTTTTCCTCAGTTGGTGTAGGTTTCCCATCTTTTACTTTTTGTCTCCGTCTTTTCTGACGTTGAAGAATCTGAATCGTTATAGGGCGTACCGTACGATTCACTGTCGTCTTCGTCTTTCTCTCTTTCTTTGACTCTTTCCGTGGTGGCTTTCTTTCTTGTTTTGAGTCGTTTGGTTTGTTTTGAACTTGATGATGGCTTACTACTGTCGAGGGTTTTTGTTTTGCCCGAGGTTGACGGAGATTTGGTTGGACTTTTGGTTTTTCGTTGGGCCTGTTCTTTAATCTTTGACTGAACCGCGTGTTTGGCATACTTGTTATTAACAGACTCTTCGGTAAGTTCGAGAGCGGATAAAATCATTATGTAAGCAGGGTTGTGTAGTATTTTAGTTTGCTGTTGTATATCATACAAAAATGATGCTGCTTTGAGACCGGTTGGTACATTGTCAACATAAATTGTTTCATCCATGGCGTTTATTGAGACTCGAGTTGAGCTTTTGATAACCTCCAGGATATTTTTAGCTCTCGTGAATTTTTTATCCTCCATTATTTGCAATTGTAATAGAATGCGTTCATAGTTTATTTTATTATCCTTTCGCTCCTTCTCATCCACAATCCGCTTCTCCTCTTCCTCCCCACCTTCCTGATATTGATTAGTCTCATCTTCTGTAAGAAGTCCTGTTGATTGTTCCCCAGGGTCAACAATAGGCGTTGAGGGAGGTGTTGGGGGAAGGGGTAGTGGAAGAGTTTCAGTCGATACTGAGTTATGCTTCGTGGGTATTAGAGGTCTCATGCGGTTCAAGTAAGATAACTGGGGCTTTTTGTGTTTAATTGAACTGTTAAACAGCACTTGTGATGCATGCGGTTGCTCACGGATATATGTATGTTTTGGAATTAAAACAAACTCTTCTGCTGCCATGTTTTATGCTGATGGTAAGTATCTGTTGCAGAAGTAAAGTATCAGTCTGATCAAGTTGAAACCTTGTTTCGTTAGAATAATTGCTCGTTTTCGTTCAAGTTTTGTTTTTCGGCTGATTAAAAGTTTGTATGCCTTTTCGAAATTTTCAATGTTTGGAATATTAACAGATACATTGCCATTGACTACATTGAGCAAACATTCACATATAACTGAAATAACTTGAGGATTTGTTGTTTTTCTAATGAAGCTTCGGAGCTGGCTGGGATTCAATATTACCATGTTCTGCAGAATAGATAATTTTTTCGCGTTCATTTGTGAGAGGTGTAACCTCTGCCTGATTTATTGGTAAGTAAAAAATTGAGGGACCAGGTGGTGTAATGTTTGAACAATATCTCAAACAATCGGATGTACGCGGATCCAAGTCGATTAAAAGATGACCGTATGTGTCTTTTGTAGCGAGCTGATAACAGTGTCTCAAAAATTTAGTGTTGTTCAATTGTCTTCCAAGATGATCAAGTTGCTGAATATCACGAGGTGATTTGAACAGAATGATGTGTGATGTGTTTAAATCAATTGTTCGAGACCATCTGCTTTGTTGGAACAAATTATGTTTAACATATATTACATCTAGTCCTCGGTGTCTTCCTGCTGTTGCAAGTTTGACAAAGTCTTTATCGTTACAGATTTCTTCGCATGAATCATCAAAAACTAGAAGAATGTTTTCAAGGTTTCGCAAACTGTCAAAGCCATTGAATTTTATGAAAGTTAGATCAATGCTGTGGGTATTGGATTTTTCACTATAAAGAGGATGAATCTCTTTGTAAAAGTATAAGGCTCTTTGAAATTTGGGATAAAATGTTTTTCCTTTCAACAATTTGAATATCAGCTCTGTTTTTTCAGAACCCGAGGGGCCCACGATGGCTAAAAAAAGTCTCGTAGATGTATCAATAACTTTATTCATATTCTTGGATTTGGTAATACATAACCAACTAAACCCGATAAAATTGAAAACCAAACTGAGGTTTCTTCACAAGTTAACTGCGTTAATGAAAGTTTAAAAATACAAAAAGCCAATAAAATCAGAATTAACACCATTTGTGACATGAAAACTACTTCAGACCGTCGTACATTCACGTTATTGCAAAATTTCCATGATTTTTTCTCCATATGATTTTCGTCATACACAAAATCGGTAACTATAGTTCCATCAGTCTCGTCAACTACTGTGTCATTCATTTCAATTTCCCTACCGCTTTCCCTCACTCTCGAACTTGCAGAATGAAAAATATATATCATATATAAAAAAAATTAATTAAGCATCTGAACAGTAATAAATTTCATATCGTGTATAACCTGTATAGACACTCGGTTTATTATCATCATCAAAATCATAATGCATTTCCAAAACATAATTGGCTGGGACATGATCAGTTTTGGCATGATACACAATTTTCTTCACAGAATCTTCTCTTATTATTTTTTGAATCTCATTGGGTAGTTCACTGCTGGTTAGATCCATTTGAACTCCTGGTTGACGTTTGGGCACTAAGACTAGCTTGGGAAGACAAAGACCGCGCTTGCTGGGTAACATTACTGATGTATTTGAATCGTTGAAAGTAGATGAATTGGTCAATCACGGGGAAGAACCTCCTCAAAGTGCACAACTCTTCTTCAGAAAGTGTAACTTGTTCTTTTCGTTGAACTACTTGGCCTCTACAATCAATGCGTTCAATCCTGGTCAATGAAATCTTTATGTTACTTTCTGGTGTCATCCAAGCACAAAGAACTGAATTTGGAGATATGTATGTCTCCACTTTCCCCTGACGCTCGTTGTTGACACTCATTTTTCAACCAATCAAAGAACGCTTTCGAATTTTTTAATGCACAATGATTTTTAGAGTTATGGTGCGGTAGGTGTTTGTTACAATTCACAAAATTCTTGAAATATAATTGTTCGACTCGTGGACAGCCCAAATCGTCAAGATTCACAACTTTACGGTCTAAGTATTTGGATAAAAAATCAGCTTTTTCTTTTCCTTTGGCGTAGAATACAGCATTGGGGTTTCTTAAGACAAAACTTTGAATGATTTGGTTCAAATTCAGGTATAAATAATCACCGCTATCCCAATGAAGTCCGTGCAAATAATTTGTCAGCCAGTTGTAGGCTTTTTGTTCAGATTTTGGAAGGGAATTGAAATTAACTGGAGGTAGAAAAACTAGGGAATCACTGTAGTCGGAAGTTGTTATAGCTAATTCTTTTACTATAAATGTGTTTTTCTGGTGTCGAAATCCCTCAAAATCCACCACAACTGATTTTTCCTTCAGCATTCTAATAAATGGTAGAGTTTCGGTTTTTTCAGTTTGATATACAAACAAAACGTAATTCCACTCAAGTGACCAATCAAACTACTGTTGCATTTCCATGGTAAAACATAGCAGTATGTGGGACCAGTGTTATAAATTTCGCGGACAAAACCGGCGGCATCGTGTAAAATAGCATGCATTCGTAAAATTTTCGAATCATTTAAATATTTATCCAAAGAAGAATTGTCTATACCGATCAGACCCCCATAGGGTCTCAACTTGATAGCAACATCGTAATTTATATCATTAGTAGTTGAGAAGAAGAACAGTGAACATGCAGCTAGGAAATAATTTCGGCGGTTGGTGTTTTCCGGATAGGTTTTTTTCAAAGTAATAAAAATTTCATGAATAATTTCCAAGTCTTTTGAAGTAACTCTACGTTTTTCCAATTTCATTTTTTAAAATTTTTCCAGCACTTCTCCGACCTGCTGAATTTCAAGCCAGTGGAAATGAAAGTAACCTTCTAGATACCACTTACTCACTCCTATTTCTAACTAATGATTTCAACCTATTTTCATGTGTTTAGATGGATATTCCCCTTGGTGGTCTCCACGAGTCACCCATTGATTTGCCTTATGTGGGACCTGAAACTCACGAAGGCAAAAATATCTTTGGTGTGACCGTAGAGTTTACCCCGGCCACCACTGCAGCGAATTTTAAGCTGCATTACATTGAGGTTGCATTTGAGAAAAAGGAGGGCATATTTGAATATGTGTGTGTTGATGTGGGGAGCATGAAAAATTTCTGGCTGTGCGAGTCTCTGGGTGCGGGATTCGAGAGTACTGAGTGGCGCTTCAAATTTCAAATGGAGCGTCTAGTCAGTATTCTTCATGTCCCTTGGTCGGATCCCGAAGACGACATGCGGATGTGGCCGTAAACCCTTCCTCTGCTCTCCTATCCGTACTCTTGTTAACATTCCGTTTTTATTTTATTTTTTCTTTTTTTTTATATGTTACTTTATCTATTATTTATCAAGTCCTCTTTACCTTCTTACCCTCTTATTATTTGTCACGTCCTTCCTCCTTCTCAAGCAGGTCAGTTTTTTAATGGGGTCTCAAATTTATTTAGTTGAACAGTGGGAAAGTTTGGAAGGGATTAAATTTAACCACCGCGCGAAAATAAATACCAAAGTATTTTGTCTGTCGGGTGTCCTTAGAGAGGGGTCTTTTTATTTCGGGCAGGGTACTTTGGGGTCTTTAAAAAAGATGGGTCCTTTTGGACCCTACTTTTGGTAGGAGCCCAAAGACCCCTACCGTCGAAAAGACCCCCCCCCTAAGGACACACGGCGGATTACAATACTACTGTTTGTGCCACTTTTAGGCACCTTTTGACCAAAAGATCGGTTTTGACCAAAAGATCGTGTTTTTGGGGTCGCAATCCCCCTCAAAATTAATATACATTAGTTCTTAACACCACGGCGCCTTTCAAAAATTGTAAGGGTTGGTCAGCTTAAATGGATTTCGTACAATAGTATCCAAGGGGTGGACCTTTTAGTGAGTGCGAGGGTCAAATCCCTGATCTCTAAATCCGCCACTGATTCGCATGCCTGCTATGTCCAGGTGGTGTTATTTGGACTATACTCTTCTGCTCTCACTCTCCTAATGTCATATTTGATCCTCAATTCTTACCATGTTCTTACTTCTTAGACATGGATGTGTGGGGGTGAAGTGATAGAGACGCCCTGTAGTCGGGTGGCGAGAGTGCACAGGGGCTCAATGAATGTTCCTTACTCCCCCCGAGCGGCAATTGAGAGGAGCATGAGCAACATGCCCAGAGTGGCCAATGTGTGGATGGACGAGTACAAGGAGTTCTTCTTCTACAGGAAACCGGACAGGAGATTCGCCAGACTCATGACCGGTTAGAACTTCTTAAAATCATTTTACCTAAGTATTTTTGATGCTCTTAAAATATGTGAATTAAAAACATTAACTGCTTAGAAAAACTTTTAAAATCTTAATGTAAAGAAAAACAATATGAAAGAATTTTAAATATGTTGGATTTGATTAAAAAACATTCAACTGAGACTACTAATTTTTTTTTAATTCTGGCTGAATTGTTTTCGGATTGAATTCTGACAATTTGTTTCAGGAATCGAGCAGAGATTTGAAATCAGACAAAAACTGCAGTGCCATTCTTTTGACTGGTTCATGAAAAATATCAATTTCAACCAACCCACTTATTATCCTGCTGTCGAGCCTCGTTCCCATGCTCACGGTCGAGCACGCTCACAGGAGCACATGATGAAGTGCATTAACAGATATGATAAGAAATTAATGCTCTCCAAATGCGAAGGTGCGCCTTCAATTTCACTCACATGGCGAAAGGAGTTCATATTCGACAAAGACTCTCAGGCGTGTCTAGACGTCGGCAGTATCTCGAAGCACGATCGCAAACCGATTCCGACGTTCGACTTTTGTCACAAAATGGGAGGCAACCAGTTTTGGAAATATGAATTAAAAACTCGGACTATAGAACAGAAAAGAATCAATCAATGTTTGGCTACTGACGGTGCTTTGATTTATTTGAAAAATTGTAATTTGACAGATGTTAGCCAACAGTGGGTTTTCGATGACTCTGATATGAGTCAATATCGAAAAGATTTATTCCCTTTTGAGAGAAGACAATAAACATGCTTAGAACACATTGGTGATGAGAAATAAAGTTTGCCATATTTAGTTTTTTTACCTTACTTAATCAAACTTCAACTTTGTCTGAATTGCCTTGAAATTTCAAAAAGCGGTAAAAAGAAATGCCACTAATTTACCTTATTTCATGAAGCTCAAACCAACCTTCGTGATACCACGCAAGGAAGTGTTCTAGTTGATGCGTTCTACGCTTAATTTAAGCAGTATAGGTTGAACTGATGAGCACAGACGGGTCATGAATGTGACCTAATCGCCTACCAAACGCTCAGTCTTTTAGTTTTGTTTTCTTATCCACCAAATTTCTCAATAAAAGACCAACCCAACCCAAAATGTCCATGAAAATTTCTAACCATTCATAATGTATCCCATTAAACTCTACATTGCAAGTAGCAATTTATCCAAGAAGACAGACCTCACGTCTCATTAGAATTGCTAGATCTCAATATTAACCTCGAAAAACACTAACTTATGATTACAAAAAACTTGAACTTGAAGTAAACAGAAGTTGAACTAAGAAGTAGCTCAAACCTATGTCCGAAATTAGATAGCATGATACACAGACTTTGTATTGGAACAAAAACTGTTCTAAGAGGGAAAAACCAGGCCCATCTCAATGCCGCCCGTAAACATCTCAGTAAACATATTTGTGAATGAAAAAGATTTAGAAAGAATCAATTGAAAATTCTGTTTGTGTTCTAAAATTTTTGGAGATATACGTGACGTTTTTTTGAAATTTTTTTGAGAAATCAAAGAACTTTTTCTGAAATAAGTAGGAAAAACTTAAGCAAAAACTAATATGGGAAATTTCCAGTAAGTTTAAAACTCATTTGTGCTCGAAACACTATTTTTCAAAGTCTGGAAACCACCAAAACAATCTAACCTAGAAAATTATCTGATTTTGTACAATATGAAAACTATACATATAAGAGGAAAACAAAATTTGTGTGTTTTTGTCTGTGTGTTTGTCTGTGACCAAACTGATCCAAGCATAATAACCACAAGTACATAAAAATTTACGTGAGTGCTATCAACTTATTATTTTTTTTCTCTCAATTTTTCGCTCGTCTTCCCTAAAAAAGGGCAAAGAATACAAAAAAGGAGTTACAAGAAATCAATTTTTTTTGCAGTTCAATTCCATTGGATGTTTAGAATTGAGCACGTGCATCTTTTGATTTGTTTTTCAATTTTCAAATACATTTTTAAAACACGGAAAGTGAGAGAAAAGTTGAACTTCAAATTAGCAGCATTCTTTTTGAAACACATTTTGCTTGAGTTTTTGCTTAACTCACTGTTAATTAAAGTGTAATTGACAATCAGTCACGGACGGTGCAACACGACATATTCTGATTTGCTAGATTACAAGTCAACCAAAAACGAACTTTATGCAACAGTACTAAAAATCTTACTTCATCTCCCAAGGCTCAAAAACGTTTTTTTTTTTGTAAAGAAAAACTCAGCTAAAAATAAATTTGGCTTGTGAGTTTAGTCATCGGGTCACAAATGGCTATACAGCTAATCATGAAATTTAAAAAACTTTGACCATTGGCAAGTTTTGAAAATAAATTCAAAAAGACAAAAACTGAAATTTTTGTTGTGCTTTTTTTTTCTAGGATCACAATAATTGGGCTAACTTTAGCATCAAAAAATTGCTGTCAGAAAGCATTGATTTAACATTAAATTTTTATATTAAAATAGATTTATGAAACTAGAACTAATTTAAAATTGAAAAACAAGTAGAACGCGCTTATCACGTTGAAATTACATTGCATGATATATAAATTATATATTGGGACAAAAAGTGCTCTGTGGGAAAGAAACTTTTCGGACTAATCTCACAACCTATCTTAAAAACCTCAACAGCATGTAATTTATGGAAAATATATCATCAATACAAACAGTTGAAAGTTTGTTGTTTTTCAAGATTTTGCTTTTACAACAAAACAACGCATTCTGTGAAAAAAAAAAACTAAAAATTGAAATAGATTTTTTTTCAAGTATAAAAATTGGTTATGAGAAATCTCAATAATCCCAGCAAAATTTCTCAAGTGCTCTGAAGTTACCTTAAATATGCAAACTTCGGGATGCAAATTTTGAAAAAATTTTCGACGAAAAAGATACAAGAAAACAATGATATAAGTTTTTTCACAGAATATTTAGCTTATTATTAGCATTATAGATGGGTTCTTCTTTTAGCATTTTAAAGTTGTTGTTTACTTATTTTGAACAAGATGGTTTTACACCAGAAAAAGCTATTTTAGCCCTTTCTGCTTGAAATCTATGAAAAAGTATTAAGAAAGTATAATAAAAAATCGTATCACAAAAGTTCCGGAAAAAAGTTTGAGTGAAACAGTTTTTAACTACAAACTCTCAAATTCTAAACGAGGAGTCGTGGTTAAAAGTAGTTCGTAATTTTTTTAGTTGTTGCAAAACTTCACTATTTTCAGCAAGAAAACTTTTTCACTATGAAATCCAACATTCAAAAAAATATATGTTTGATAACACTATATATTTAAATGCATACAATTGTGACTTAAACTTTTAAAAAAACTACAGGCATTTGCTAATGCAGTTTTTCTATTCATTTGAAATTTTCAGTTTTCTACCTCATCAATTCAATGATCTTTGTCAAGCTTTGAGGTAAAAGTTTAATGTTTTTCGCAAAAACTTCAGCGATGGAGTTTGTCTTTGTTTTAAGATCTATTGTTCTTGACTGTTTAGGTTATTTTGTTGATTTTCCTTCTTTTTACAGTAAATAATTAAAGCCGCAGTAAGTTTTTTTTTTCAAAACAGATAAGGGAACTTTTTTAACAAGAACAAAATTTCTTACCTCTGTTTAATTGAAAAGACATACAAATGATGATTCTGACTAAATTTGTTGAACAAGCTGCCTATAAAACTCGATTGGTAAAAAAATGTGTGTGTTTTAAAGATAACGCACATTATAAAACTTTAAATTCACCTGAAAGTGTATATAAACTAGAACTTTTAAACTTTGATGATTTTTTTGCTCCTGCAATTTAGATGTTTAAATTGCCCAAGCATGTACTAGCAAAAAACTTGCTCAGTTTCTGTCCAGTCTCATTTTTTAGTCGTAAATTTTTTCGTGTCAAACGGGAATGAAATTTTGCGGGATGTTTTTTACTGCATTTTTTTTTAACTTATGCACCTCATCTGGTTTGTTTCATTTTGTTTCATAATCTTTCTTTTTTTCTTTTGATATTTTTGTGTGCAAATAAATAACTATTCTAAGTCCAATGTTTTTGGAGCTAGTTTGGGCAGCTTCTTTTAGTTTGTTTTTTTATTGGACATTATATCATTCTTACTGGCATATTTTTTAGTTGTAAATAATTTCCATTCAGAGTGACAGAATGAAACGTCGTCTTTTTTTGAAAACATCTTCGTTTTTAAAAATCTGCCACAATCACTGTCATTATTTGTAATTTGTAACAGTGAAACCGATTTCTTGGTCTCTGAAAAAAAAACAAATTTGAATTTTTCCGACTTACTTTTTTTGAACTATCGCTTTTTTCTAATTCACTTCTCATAAATTTGCGAAAAAATGTTAATATTTTGCTCACTCAGACTTTTTAAAAACTGTTTTTTGAAAACATTTTCGAAGGCCAAAACTTAATCCATTATTTCAGGGCAATATTTTGACAGTTTAAAATAGACAATTAGATAACTTTGGCTTATGTAATACGTAGAGGATCTTTGAGAATTTATTAGCCCAGTCTAAGCGTAGTCCGTTTCTTATACTTCCCCACAATCCAGACTGAATAGTTTTGTTGAGCGAAGCTCTTGTTTGTGTGTTTTTAGTAGCTGCGTTTCAGTAGCTTTGCTAGCTTTAGTTTTGAAAGAAAACTAAGTATAAACAAGATTTATCGTATCAGGGCTAGGCCCTGAATGTTCCCACTGCCTTTTAAGGTCTATGGAGCAGTAATAACATTTAAAAAAAACTACAAAAAACTGATTTTTTTTAAATTTAGATTTTTTGTTACAATCATTCCCACACCTCATATAAAGTTCAAAGTGACAGTTTCGATCCTAGTAACAAGTCAATTATGGCAAATAATCTTCCTTCAACCAAACGATTTCTAAGACGGATTAATTCTTCGCTTACTCGTTAATAGCGCGAAATATATCGCGCGTTAGTTGTCCCAAATTAGCCAAAATGGCACTCTTTAAACCCCCATAATTTTTCAAAAAATGATCACAGTAAAATATCTTTTCAAATCTAAGCTCAGGACAACAATAATTTTGAATGATATAGAAAAAACTTCCGTCAAAAATGGCTTGTTAAAATATCGAAAATTGTATGAAAAAAAACCACCCCGAGCACACATATTCCGTTACTTTCGTAGCGAAAGTCGTAATAACAAAGGAAGATCACTCAGTTGAAGGAGCATAGTACTTGATCGAAATGCTAGAAATCATAATCAAACAATATTTGTTGAATCTGTTAATGAAATATATCTTAAGAAAAAAATATCTCGAAACGATGATTTTTTATCCGATGTCTCTGGACATACATGTTTCATGATTATGATAATATCTGCTAGTGAGGTCTCTCAGAAAAAAAACGTGTTCAGCAATTGTAGAAAAAATAAGAAGAGATAATTTCGAACCAAATTTTGTTTAATTTGGTAAAATCAAAGATGAGAGGCAGAGCTGTAGTTCCCATCTTCTTGTCATTGGTTACTCCATCCTCAAATCTAATAGCCAAGTATTTCTAGAGAATGAATTATACCCTTTGACAACTTTTTACAACTGCAATTTTCAGTTATTTGCTGAGCAATCTGAAACTATATTCAACAGCGCAATTGCACTTTCCAATCACAGTTTAGTTAGAAATCAATATAAATTTGAATCAATTCAAAAATTTCTGTTTTTGGTAATTACGGCAATCAATTTTCGGAGATGGTAGAAGGCATCCTACAAAATTCGGAAAATTCAAAAAAAAATAGCAAATAGAATTAATTGATTTTGGTTGATTTCGAAATAGAGACTGAGTTCTGCTTCAAATATCAAAATATCTTCATGTTTTGTTCTTTTGTTTTCTTATGTCAGAAATTTGGTTTTCCTTGGTCAAAATTCTAAAAACTCCTAGGATAAGTTTTTGGACAATGTATCTGAAAACATTTTTTTAATTTTTCACAGGATTTCATTCTAATTGCTAAAGGTATTCTCGACCAAGCTGGACTATTATTTTAATTCTGATCTTTAAATTAGCACCCTTAGGGCCTTGCAAACAAAAAATTAAGTAACCCACTTTTAATCCTGGGTGAAAAAATGAATGGAATTTAAGTATCAATGGAAAAAATAACAAATAACAGCTAAGAGGCCTATTTATTTTTCCCACGAACAATCAATCTAAGGGTGGGGCCGGTCGAAGGCTTTACTTCTTAAATAAACAAACAATTTTGTGTTTTTATCCCATTTAACTCAAATCGGAATTAATTAGCTGAAAACAATCAGTCGAATCATTTCATAATACTGATACTTTCTGAACAGTTGAGCTAAAAACTCAAAGATGTATTTTCTTTCAAGGTGAGTTCCGTTTTATTTATTTCTTTCTAAAAAATACATTTCGTTTTTCAAGTTTTGCAAAACTTTAATTGAACAGATAATAAGAATGAGCACCAGAAAATTTCGAAATTGAAGTCATTTTTGTCATCAAAATAGTTTTTGTGGAGGCATTTAAAAAATCGATACGTTCATTTTGCATTGATTCGTCTTTCTATTTCCGAATTCCCTTCCCTGCCTCTCGATTGAGCGCTAAACATCAACATCATGCATAATTGAAACCCACCTTGAGTAAAAATGACATATATGAGTAAGAAACAATAATACTGATGGCTAGCCACTTAATTCAAACCAATTCTCCAAGTTCGATTCACTTGGAGCGAACAAAACAAGCCGATTTATTAAAGAACAGAAAAAATCATTGATAATGATAATAATCTAAGCCAGCAGAAAATATTTTTTTTGCTTAGATTAGATTAGATAATTAAAAAAAAACATAGATAATTTCCAGAGGTAAAGATGGCCTACAAAACTGCAACCGTTTTGCATATCATCTAGCGAAAGTATAGCTTCATTAATACCGTCAGTTGTTTTTAATTTTACAGATAATTTTAAAACTCTGAAATGATTGTGCTTCTTAAAAAACAAATGAAAAACAGTAACCTGGCCGTCAATGAAAATGGCAAAATGGACGGTTGTATGAGGAATTATTTCATTTGTTGGAGTATTTCAATACTTCTGGAGGTGAAGAAATATCATATAAAATTATTCAAGATCAAAACAGAGTTTATATCAATGAATCTATTTTGTTCTAGTAAACATATTGGTTTAAGAGCACAGAGCGGCTAAAAACTTAAGCCAACGTAGGCATAATTCTTCTCAAACAGAAAAATTGAAGTTTTTGAGGCAAGTCAAATCGGTCGAAACCAAAATTCTGCGCCTTCTCGTATCTCTTTTTTAACAATTGTATTCATCATATTATTTGTTGCTAAAAATTGGTTTTCTGATACTAAGTTTTCTGCTGATGAGACTGTCGGTTCATTTCGCATTAGTGCAATATGTGTCCCATTATACATTTCAGGATTAGGAAATAAGATAGTAAAAAGTGAAACCAGTTTAAGGGATGAGCTTCGATGAGAGGAAAAATGGAAGAAAAAATATATTTAAAAAATGAAGAGAGTTTTTATAAAAGTGGCTGCAATTAATATTTGATAACAGGCGCGCATGCAATACTCTTAGTTATAAGTTTCTAATACGAACACAAACGTAAAACAAGAACAGATGCTAGTTTAAAAACTGTTAATAATTCATACTCGACTTTTTATTAAAAAATCACTATAAACTAATGCGTTACTTTCCCCCTCGGAACATCTGCTGTTTTAAATAATAATAAAATTAAATTTTTATCAATTTTTACTTAATTTTGCTGCTCAATCTTTGAAGATGCTTGTATAACGCAGAAAAGCTACCTGCTAGAGATATTACACAATTAGACATAGATATTCCCTCTACAAAATAAAAAAAACTGTCTTCTCCAACTTCATATTGCGCTCTTACGCATTTATACTCCCTACAGAAAAAAAGCAAAACTAGAAAAAATAATACAAATATTCTGATGAAAACACGGTGAATAGAAGATCAGTTTCATAAACACGAATCATCAACTAATTCCTTGAAAAATAAAACAATTCATTCGAACTTGATTTCACAAAAAAGTCAGCATTTACACAGCTCAAATTAAAAAAAGGTAAGACTCAACAGATTTTAGGAAACCCAGCCAATTATTTTGGCAGAAAAAGACTCTTCCCTTCAAGTGGTTTTAAGAACCTAAATATTGAAACTGAACCTTCTGCTCTCAAACATGTTTTTATTAGGGTGGTAATCTTCCCTCAGGTATTCGGCCACCTCACTAACCAACCCTAAAATATTTTCCGAAGGTGCCTTAGACGAAAAAATTTTGTGGCAAAAGGGTCAAAGTGTTCTGGGAGCGCTCGGAAAATTAATTTTGTCGACATAAAAAAGGTCAATATAATTTTCCAACATTTTTTGAAAAAAACCCGCCCCCCCCCCCCCTCGAGAAAATCCTAAATCCGCCCCTGCCAATTCCGCCCCTAAATCCGCCCCTAAATCGGCTGGGTAATCATACTCCATGCACACTCAAGAGGGTTTTGTAACCTATGGCTAACCCAAAGTAATCTGTTTTTTTTCCGCTTCTGTAATCCAATTACTTAATTTGAAAGAATGAAGTGTTTCAATAGGAAGCGTTTCAAACATGAAAAAATGAAATGTTTCAAAAAATTAAAGGTTTCAAACATGAACAAACAGAGCGAGTTGCTATGAAGTAGGACGTAGGACAGAAATTTCCGACCACAGTGATTTGAGAAGAGAAGAAAAGGAAAGAAAAATAAACAAAATCGAAAAAAATATCTAACTTTTTCTACTTTTTGTAAGCTTACTTTTTGTAAGGAAAGAAAAATAAACAAAATCGAAAAAAATATCTAACTTTTTCTACTTTTTGTAAAAAAAAATCTACTTTTTGTAAGCTCTTGTAATTTTTTAAACAGAGGGCGGCTAAATTGGGCAAAATATTGCAGAATGGAAATGAATATAACTAAAATAACGTACAACTTGCAGTAGATTTAAATTATGTCTCATCGGAAATGAATTCAATTTTATCATATTGTGTGAAATTTGGTCTGAAAATCGGAAAAACTCAGACCAGTTCTTCCAAAACAGAACATTTTTTTAAACATTTTGAAGCTTTGCATAGGAGACAAACTTATAATATCGAAATTTCCGTCATTTTTGATGGTTGGACAAAAACAAAAATAAAGGGTATTCTTTAGCGTGCCAAGGGGAGAAAGCGGTGGGCCACCGCACCCCCCCCCCCCCCCCCCCCTCAATTCTGGTTGCCAATGTTTTGGTATAACTTAACGATATCCATTTTTGGCTGGCCAACCTCAAAATTTTTCTAGAGGAGCCTTGGCAGCAATAAAACTAATTTTGAGGGGGGAGCCCGCGCCAACAAAACGCATTTTTTTGTCAAAATTTTCTCGAAAAGTCCCCAAAAACGCCGTTTTTTGGCCTGTTTTTTTTTTAATTTTAGAAAAAAAATTGGTCGACCTAAAAAAAATTGGTCCGAAAAATTTTCAAAATTTTCCGAAAAGCGCCACTGAAGACTGAAGTGAAGGTATTCAAATTATTTTAAACGTTTGATCGGATCATTCTGTGCTACCTGTATAGCAGGTGTCCGGAATTTCTAGATCGGTTTTTGCTTTTGCTTTGTGATGCTTCCTTTGGTGACGACAACAGCATGACGATAGTTAGACTGTTTCAACTCTAATTTGAAAATTAATTTAACAAAAATCTAAATCATCTTTCGTCAGAGCAAACAACAAAAGGCCTTAAGTGAATAGTTAGTCGCATCGGTACTGCAATTTCATTGTTTCGATTTTTTTAAGTTGGTTTTTGCGAGATTAAATTCGGGTTTAGAAATTGCTATCGATTGTCATTAATGTTGAGCAGTTTCTTTTTAGATGTCAATTATGCTCAGGTGAACTTAGAGTTAACATTTTTGGAAATTAACTAAGTAAATTTCTATGCCCTTTTCAGGGAAAAATATATAATTAATATTACTTTTTGTCGGTGGGGATTTTATGGTAACCGCTGAAGCGATCACCGAAACTTAAGTAAAAAGAAATAAAGCTACAGGAAAGGAATTATAATTTCGTAATTAACTTAGACTACGTAAACGGAGCATTAAAAAAGAGCTTTCCATTTATTTAATGGCCAGGTAATAACTCAAAATGTTTTGACGTTTTAACAAATTCTGCCCGCTTGTGCTACTTATAATAGATTTTCTGCTAAGTGGGGATAGCAAGTACTAAATGCACTTTCAAAAGGTACCCATATCTAGCTATTTATTTATTTTTCCCTTAATTCCTTATTTTTTGTTTTGTTTTATTTCTCAACAAGAGAATAAATTGCATTCATTGGTCGCAGTTCTTATACTATCCTCTCTCTTATAATTCCCGAATAAGTACTTTTAACAAAATTTAAAGAGTAAGGCAACAATTTACTTTAAAAAATCCCCTGTTTTACGGTCTTAGCACTTTACTCTTTAGTAGCCAACGTCGATCTTGAGAGGAATTAAGTGCTAGTTTAACAAAAAACTAAAACAAAAACAATTAACAGCAGCATACTTACTAAGAAAAAAGTGAAAACTCAAAAAATAACAAAGAAAAACTAATTCAAAATACTCAGGCAAGTAGTTTTTTCTGAAAAGCTTAATTGATTCAACTTTGAAAAATTATATATCGAAGAACTAGCGGCTCATCTATTTGTCTAGCTAATTTTCCCACCTTTTTTCAACTAAGTAAGTTAATTTTAATACTAAAAAGCGCCGAAACAGAAGTAAAAGTAATTTTAATTTCGTGTTTCGTTTTAACATAACCAACCTTTTGTTTTTAAATTTTTATCTTATCGCCGACGGGCTTAAAATTGCTCGAGTCATAATAAACAAATCAATTAGCAATTCATTCACATTTTTAACTTAACTGGCTTATCTAGAAACGTTTGTTGACAAGATTAACCATATTACTTTTTTTCTCACTTAAAAATTTCACACCTTTTTCAACATATTGTAATAACAAAGCGGAAATACGGCTGACTTTTGTTCATTAAGAAGTACTGAAATAGGTAAGGTCAACTCATTTTTTAACAGACTTTTCATTTTTGACTTCCAAGGAAACCAAACTTTAATTTGTTAGGATCTTTTTTGCTAGTGCGCAAGTCAAATTATGGCGCAAACATTCGGCAAAGACTGTCAACGCTATTTGTAAAATTCCCAAACTTTGAGTACAAAGAAACCAAGTTGTTCAAAATGTTTGCAAATAGTCAATATTTTTCGGCCCCTGATTATTTCGGGTTTAAGTCCGTTTTTGAAACTATTGATTCGCTTAGGCCGACCATGTTTTCGTCAACCAACGCACCGGCAGTAACCAATTCGCCGACTTTGATTCAACCTCCGACGCCGATCAATTGTCCGAACGCCAACTCGGCGCCCAATAGCCCACCCGACCTCAAATATACAATTGAGCAAATTGAGTTGTTGAGGCGACTCAAAAATTCAGGTTTGACAAAAAATCAAATCGTACAAGGTTTGGATTCGATGGAAAAAATTGATTCGACTGGGTTTTCCACTGGCGTTGAAGCCAACTCACCTCCGGGAAAGGAAATCAAGCAAGAATTGTCACCCAACTCGAAAGGAAATCTGCTTCCTGGAACGATCGGCCAACTGGGATCTCTGAACTCGGCGACAACGGGAGCCGAATATTTGCGATCTTTGGCTCTACAACATGCATTTTTCAACGCGATGACTAATGGAAACTTTGTGAACGGAAATGCACATATGCAGCAAAATGGCATTCAGTCGAGCTTGGCTCAGAGAAATTTGGCGGCTGCTTTGATGTGTTCACAGGGCATGACCATTCCCGGAATTGGAGGACTTCATAACCAGGCGGCTTCACCGGCCAGTGCTGGACTCGCGGGTAGTTTGGTCGGATTTCATTTGGGATCAACAAACGCGGCTGAAAACTCAATTTTGAACCAGATGAGTCATATCAATGGAGGGGGTGGGGCTAACTCGCCCGTGAATTTGAAGCGGGAGAGTATGGGCGGGGTGAATGCGTCCCTAGGCGACCCGACCACAATCAGCGACGATGACGAGCAATTGATGCAGCTACAGTCGTAAGTGGTTCATCTTTAAGCAATCAGCGTTTTCCCAGTTTTCTTAGTAGCCGTCCCGCAAAAACAAGCAAAAAATCGTCTAAAAATTGTTAATACGGTAATTTGCATGAAAAAATATCTCAATCTTTTGACTTTTTCACGTATGTAGAATAAATTACATTCTAGCATTTAGAAAATCTCGGGGTGACAGAGGGGGTGAATGCAAATAGCCAAAGCTTGGGTATGGTAAAAAAACACCAAGAAAAATGCAAGTCAAGTAACTATTGTTTGTCAATCAGCGGTATTGTTTTTGAAACTACTTCACCATTTTCCAGTTCAAACGTTTGCTTCGACGACTCTTTTTTATAGTCCATCCTCCCAAATACAATGAAAATTGGAGTACAGGCTGAATGCTCAAACCTAAACATATTTGGTTTCCATACAAAATTTTGCAACCACTGCTGATAACAAAAACTTGAGTTTTTTGTTAAATGGTACAAAAATGAAAATGAAGCGTTGCTATCTGTGCTTCAGTATGTCTGTGGTGGACACCAAGGAGGAGATCAAGAACTTCATGATGTGTCACGGGATCAAGCAGCACCAGGTGGCGGAGAAGACAGGGGTCAGCCAGAGCTACATCTCACAATTCCTACACCAGGTACCTACATAAACCACCACCATCTCTCCGCCTTAACTTCAATTACATCAATAATATTCTGCAACCAGCATTGCAAGATTATGTGAAGAACCATGTGTTTTAAACATATGTCACTGAGACACCTGCCAACGGACTTGTAGGTCCAATGGTGCACTCCTAGGCAGTAAAATTGATGGAGTAGTTTGTAAATTTATGAACTACCCACAAAGCAGTTGCCTGAAGTTAATTAATTGTTATTATGTATGTATTCTCAGTCAATGAGAGTTGCGGATGTGGGAATCTCCATGCTCGAAAATTTTGTAGGCCTTTTTTATGTTTGATCAAAGTTAGTTTTCCAAGCTCTCCCAAAAAAAACTAAAAAAAAACTAAAAATTCGGTGCACAGGCAAGCGAAATCGAAAAGATAGCTAAATGACATGAGAAAAAACTGAAAAAATTAAATCTGGGAAATTTTAAACGGTGAGTTTTAAGGAATAACCAAATTTCGATAAAATGCAATTTTTAAAAACGGGACTATTTCAGGTAAAAATTTTGCATATCTATCCTTAAAAGTTGCTGCTGAAATTGTTCTGTTTAAATTTTGTCAAAATTTTTTTTTCTGTAATTTACTTCAACCAAGTACAAGTTCTAACTCTCCAGCATCTATATATTATTACACAAAATCTAAACTAATTTTATTTTGCTTAGGGAGTTTGGATGAAGGACTCCACAAGGACCAACATCTACAAATGGTATCTGGACGAGAAGCGGAAACGAGAAGGTAAACACTATTTTGAATTCGTCTAATAACACTCGATTTTCATTTTAATAGTTTTTTGGTCTCATCTCTTAAAAAAACTAGCAACAATTTTGAGCTCGATTTCTCAAAACGGTTGTTTCATTTCTTTTGACATAATTCTTTTCGACTATCAATTTGTTTCATGTTCAAAAGTGGAGCATTTGTTTCAACGTTTTTGCTCGGTCTGAACATTTGCGCCAGTCTTAAGAATCGTTTCGTTTTTTTTTGAAATGCGTGGCATAACAATAAGCTCCGAAACAGCTGCTGAAATATATCGAACTTACGACCGATTAGCGGAGATCAGTGAGCCCGTTAGTGGTCGGCAAATAGCAAAAATGCTCGGGCTAACCCATAGCACTGTAAATCGGGTTCTTAATAGACGAATTGGAAACACTTACCAGCAAGCTACAAGACAATGCGGGAGACCCAGATCCCTACTAGAAAAAAGTATTGCTTTATTTTATCATTTTAACTATTGTTTGAGTTGAATTAAAACCATTGACGTAAAAGAATTTTTTATTTTTATTATTATTATGATTTTTCTTAAAAATAATCGATTCAATTTTGCTTTCATAGAATATTAATGTTTTGCGTGTTTGTACCTACAAAGTAATGTTTAAACAATTTTTGTTTCAAAGTTGTTTGACAAAATATTTTTTTAACTGGTTACAAATCAATCAATTCTCGTTTTTGAGTTTAAAAACAAAAAATATTTTAGCGAGCGGAGACATGGTATCGCCAGTGCACAGCAACAGTTCTAGAGGCAATTCACCCATCAACGAAGGATCAAATATCTCACAGACTCCTCCGACGTCAAACACAATCACGGGACAACAAATAAACAACAACAACAACAACAACAATAGTCCAGTGGGAACCAACAGCAGTAAGAATGGCGCAAGTGATGGAGGCAGTAATGGGTATTCAGCAGTTGGTCAGCCAATTCAACAGGTAAGAAAAGTTGACATTTTTTGCTATTTCAGTAAATTAATTTCCAAAAGGTTACCTACTTTTTGATATTTTTGTTCGAACTATGCAGCAAGTTTTTGAATTTCCAGGAAACTTGACGCTAAAAAACATACATTTATAAAAAAAAGTTGTGTTTTTAACATGAAATGCCAGAAAAAAAAGAAAAAGGAAAAAATAAAGAAAAAAGTTTGCTAAGGAGGATTCTGATCATGATCGAATTGATCATCTTGGTTCTCCCTGAAATTATCATAAGTACCCTGCTTTGCCATATTGCTTTGAAAACCACATAAGAAATTCTGAACTCAAAATATTCTGTTTAGGTGAAGAAGCGTGATCGATTTGTGTGGAAGGAGAGCTGTGTGTGTCTGTTGGAAAAGTTCTACCATGTGAATCCCTACCCGGACGACGCCAAGAGGGAGGAGATAGCGCAGGCATGCAACCAACTCATCGACTCCACTGGTACGCATATCGTACACTGTAATAATGACCATGAGTGGCCACTAATTATAGACTATAGCTGATATATCTCTCTTTATTATTCACATCTGTTAACTTAATCGAAAACGAAAAGACATTACCCGCTCTAAAATAGCAAATTGTTAACATATTTCAAAAATCATTTTCAAATTGCAGAAAAAATAATTTTTAAAGATTGTTTTGGTTCAAACATTTAATTTCTCGTAGTAATTTCAACATTATTTTAAGCACAGCAGTTTAAATATTCCCGGGTTATCTATCAGTTTGCCCTATATTTATTTTAGGGTTCACAAACACTAATTTATTGGTTTATTTACATTCATTCTTCTCTCAGGTCAAGGTCATGATGAAAAGTTGGTAACTGCAGTGAAAGTGTACAACTGGTTTGCCAACAGAAGGAAGGAAATCAAACGCAAAAACCATTTTGGTGAGATTCAAATCTTTACTCAAAAAACTTCATCTGCTCGAAAAATTTATGATTAAAAAACCCAAAGTTATGAAATAAACATGAAATCAAATTTTCTCCACTTGCGTTTCATAAAAAAATGGCCGAAAAAACTATTTGCTTGCAAAAAATAATATCGGGTTTTGGATTAATCCGCAATTCAAAAAAAAACATGTTCAAGTTTATTTCAGCCGAACAGCAACAAGCTGCGGCAGCGACCAATCACAACAACCTATCTCTCCTAGCGACAGGACACCCCGCCGGAGTGCTCCCCTTCCTTCTCGAGGGTAGCAACAACAAACAGCAACAACCCCACCCACATTCCCTGCCTGGCCTCAACAAGAATAATCCCGGGGGGCATTTGAACCCTCAAGTAGGGACTAACCCTACTGCTGTTGTGGCATCAGCGGCATCTTTTTTGGACGAGTTGATTGAACATAACAGATCGGCATTGCAGCACAACCAACAACAAATGCAGATAAAAAATGAAAACAAAGCCGATGAATATGGTAAGAGCTTAAATCGGATGCACTTTTTGGAAAAAAAACTAAGGCGTCCAAAAATGTTCATAGAAGCTTTCTTTATTAGAAACACCTAGTCAAATATTTTTGTAGGCTCTTTTTACACCAACTTGGCTAATATCTTTATGAGAAATCAGAAAACTACCTGAAATGTAGATTGTTGTGAACTGATAGTAGGAATCGCTTTTCTTTCAATTAAAAGTACATTTAAATCTTACAGAGGATTTTTTAAGGAGGCGAGGACAAAGCGTTCAACATGTGCCAAAACGGAAATGATGTGGACGAAATCGACGAACCAGTAGCGAAAAAGCCGAAAAGTTCATTGGCTGAACAACTGGCGGAAGTGAACAGCGTCATATCTGAACTAGTGCCGGGCAACCTGGAAAATTCCACGAACGATGAAAATGATGGATTACGCAACAGTTACGCAATGACTGAAACGCACTCAACTCATGGTGAAACGGAAACTGGTCAACAAGCCACGTTTGACGTTCTCAACTTGACTTCAGAAAACAGTTCAAAAATTTAGAAAAAGCCAATTTTTGAAATCATGAGTTAATTTGTAAACAAATTTAGTTATTCAAAACTTGTTAGTGAATTTGCCCATTTATGTTTGTGTTTTTTTTTTGGCCATATCAGAAACATGTCACAAAAACCTTCACATAAACCCAAAATATGCGCACCAAATACTGTCACAACTACAAGCTTTAACTATTGCTGCTAAACAGTTAAAATTTATTTAAAATTGATTTATAAATTGTCGTTTCATTAATTTTAAAAATATTTATGTTGATTTGAAATCATTTCCGTGGATTGAAAACGTTGCACAATTTAAATTTTGTTCCAATTTTTAAATTAGGATCTGAGGCACAATTTTTAATGGGCAGCTGGAAATTTTCGCAAACTGCGGTAAAAATCATGTTTGGCAGTGCTTGCTCAGAGCAGTTCAAATTGATTTTTTTTACCGGATTAAACATTGATGAAGGGTCTCGGTAAAGGTGGGTCTTCCAACAAAATTAAGATTGTTTCGAAACAAACATCTAATATATTTTTTTAGATATTTTGTTGGCAAAATCAGGCACCACAAACAATTATTGGAATGGGTCAAATGATATATCATATTAAAGACCTTTTGGTTGTGATTTGACCGAAACTTAAAAGTTTCTAGAACATGATCTCAGTAGCCAGAAACCAAGTTTAAAATTTTAATTTTATCAAATTTCAAGGAAAAAGAGCGAGTAAAATAGCTTATTTTGTTTTTCAACTAAGATGAAATACAAAATTAATAACCAGAAAGCTAAGAATGATATATAATATTGAAACCTTTTCAGCCTTAATTTAAACGATGTTAAGTTTTTTTCGAAAATTTTCCCATTGTCGAGATAAACTGGTCTGAATTTTTTGATTTTTCGTCATTTTTTGAGCGAGGAATAAAGCGAGCAAGCAGTCTTATTTTAATTGCTTAAAAACTTGCAATAGCTTAATTTAAAACAAAAAAACTTAGTTTTTTCTAAGTAACGTAAGCGTTAGTTTACTTTGAGTATTTTAGTGCCTTTTTGGAATTGAACCTTTCAAAAATTCAAAAATTGAAAAATTGAAAAAATTGATTTTTATTTTGTTTTTTTTAGTCATTTTCTACAAAATTTTTTTTCAGTTTGCTTATTTTAATGTGACTGTCGAATAAACCTAATCCTCGTTTTTGTTCAGCTCCTTTTATCACACCGCAACCAAAAAAAAGATAATAATATGAAAAAATTTTGTTGTATTTTTTTAGACATGGTCGCAATGTTTTGTGGTACTAGCACAGTAACTGGCTATCCTTTCTAAAAAATTTTAATAGTTGTTCATGTCCAAAATTGATTTTATTTGTGGTTTTACTTCTGAGACAATTTTCAAGTTTTAACAAGCCATTTTTAAAAAAGCTCTTTAATATTATTTTGACGTCAGAGCTGAAATCTAAAACACCATTTTACCACTGACCCCTTTTCGTAAAGTTATGGAGTTTTGAAAATGGCTTATTTAACCATTTATGACATGATCTATAAATTTCAAGCTATTAACGCGGTAGAGGTAATTCAATCAGGTTCATAAAAACCAAAAAAAACACTAGATACTTGTTAGGTCCGACTATCAAAACATTCTAAGCTAAATGCATGACTGTTCTTTTTATTTAGCCTTCAGAGGAAAAAGAACTAAAAAAGAGAAGAATTACTCTTTCTTTTTTTCTTACTCGTTCAATCTCGAGTAAGAAAAAGAGCAAGTAAACGCTCTCTTTATAAAGCTAGCCTTGAAGTTTTAGTTTCACTCTGGTATAACTATTTTGAAACAATTTTCTAGCGCCATTTTGAGAATAAAAACTTCAACGATTCAAAAAATTTTCTGCAGAAAACTGAAAAAAAAACATCTTGTCAGTTTTTTGAAGCAGTTAATGCCCAGTTTGAGTGTTTTACTGTGATTGTCGTTTATTCCTAATTTCTACACTTTAGTCAGATCTTTTTAACACACGACGCACAAAAACGACTCTAACTTTTTCTAAATTACAAAATTGATACTCATTTGTTCATCTAAGGATATGATCGGAACTTTATGTTACTTGCGCAGGCAATCCTCGTTTTTTTGTGACTGCTTTCTCGTATAGTGGAAGAAGAAAAATTAAAACAACAAAATGCAAGGACGGGAAAAACACTCCCGACTTTAAATCTCAAGTTGAATTTTTCATGTTTGGAGTAACCAAGTGAAAAAACATGCTTTGATCATGTTCTATTTTGAAAAAAAGCCGTCAAAATTAATTTTAAATACTCAAAAACTTTTTTTGGAGCTCAAGGTAGAAAAATTTTCCCAAAAATTCCTTTCTTTTCTTCTTCTTTGATTTAATTATCAAGTTTTTAAGTCTTTCTGTTGGCTATGATTATAGTTTCTGCGTTTTGTTAGTCAAATTTGAATGAAAATCAATCGGAGTTTTCAAAAACATGTGTGAAACTCGGTACAGTACAAGGGCTCAGGGACTGATCTAGGATTTTCTCCAGGGGGGGGGGGGGAGGAGAGGCAAATTTGTTTTGACAAAACAGGTCAAAACAGGCGTTTTTAGTCACTTTTTGGAAACTGAGTTTTTTGGCACGCGCTCACCCCTCAAAGTTAGAATATATTGGCGCCGTGTGCGCATTTAGAAAAATTTTAGGGTCAGTCAGCCAAAAATTGATATCTCAAAATAGTACAAAGGGGGGACTCTTTGGGTCGGCAGGGTCCGCCCATTGGGTCCGCCCCCCCCCCATCTAAGCCCGCTGGTTCAAGGGGTATACATTGGGAAGAGTGAATTTATTTTAAAAAAAAGGATTTTTTGGGAAGTTTTCTCAAAACTACCCAAACATTTTCCTCATCTAATTAATCATTATCATTTATCTAACTTATTTTACAATTTCGAATAACACTGATTCCTCAAAAGCACAATAAACATTGCAAGTTACTTATCTAAATGATTGCAAAAACATCGAGTCTTGTATGATTTTGCATTCCCAGCCTTGCTGCGAATATTGAGAAAATAGTGCAAAAATATTGAAAGAGTTGAATTCATAGCTTCTAAAAATATGTTAACTTGGTTAAATCTTATTTCAAGCTGTGTAGTTTAGAAGCAAAAAAATACGAAAAACCCCTCTAAAAAGATTTTTGTTCAGAAATGATCGTCGTAAGTTTTCTCGACTATGTCCTCCATCGTCGTACATTTTTTGTAAGTCCACTGCTTTTCTAAAGCAAATATTTGAAAATCGTCAGCAAAATTGAACGTTTTCGTGAATTAGTGTCCAGATACTAATTTTTTTATTTCAGAAAATTTAATTCTGAATATATTTTCTGTGAGCAAACTTTTTAAAGTTTTGTTTGGTGAGACAAAAGTGAAAATTTTCAAAAAACAGGCAGCGGTTTTTGACGTTTGAGTTTTTGTACAGAAATGTTTGCCCTCATAGAAAAATTCACAAATTTTTAATATCTTTTGTTTTTGCAAATTCAGTACGTTAACTTCGTAGGCTCATCTAAAATTGCATATATTATGTGAAGTTATTCCGATTGAACTTCGTTGATTTTTTAACTAGCGCACTCTTGGACCAAATACAAAAAAAAACATACGAATCTGTTCATTAGCAAAATTGTGAATCTCATTGCCCAAAAAGTAAACATTTGGAGTATCTGATATAAAATTTGACAATACTCCAATCCGATAATGTATCTTCCATAAAATATTCAAAAAAGTACCGTTTAATCGACAAAACAAATGAATTTCAACCAAAAAAGATGAAATCAATAGACAGAGCCGCATATAAAAAATTATTGGTTTGTTTGATATATATCTTTGCTTACTTTTATGGAAAGCCATGTGAAACAATAAAGTTCTTTAGATGGCGAATGAGTTGTTTGCCAATATTATAGAAGCATAACTAGTTATACGTGCTGACATGAAAAGCAAAAACATTCTTCAGGAACATGTTAATGGTTAAAAATCAAGCTACTCTGTCGGTTGAAAATGTGCTTTCTGGTTTAATTTTAAAGAAAATAGATCAATGAATGGGCATATAATATATTTTTGGGTTAACAAAACCCTTTCTTACTTTTGCTTGAACATTTATATTTTTGCAAACTTTAAATTCATTTTGCTTAAAGTTATAATAAAATAATAATTATTTTAAAGATAACTTCGATTGTAATTGAAATATCTCATTTTGGATCTAAGTTTCCAAGCAAGATTTATACTTCAATTTTCTGGCAAGGAAGATCAACCATATTCCTATCCAATAATGTATTATCCAAAAAAATAACTTTTTCATAAGACAGAGCAACTTTAATTTCAACCATAAATATTATGACTTCATTGGGTATCATATTTGAAATAAACTTAATCTTGCAAACCAATTCGAAACCAACAAGTGACTATTTCTTAATAACAAGGTAAAAATTGTCATTTTCAATTCATAGCCCAAAGAGGCAACTACCACAAGCAAAGTAGAATTGTTGAGGGCATCGATTGTAGAGATTGATCCTTAAAAATCTAAGTACTTACGTTTGTCGTTCAAACTTTCATGGGAAAATTGCCAGATTTAGTTTACTATTTTTCAACATTATCAAAATAATTTAGAATTAATAAGAACATTATAAAAAAATTAAAGAAAAAGAAAAAATATATATACTCTGTGTGAGAAAAAAATTTTCTTTGATCAAATTTTCCAAAACAAAAACTTAGATTCTATTAAGATTTTGCTCATAATTCTGTAAAATAAGCTCATAAATGTGAAAGTTTAAAACTAGAATCTCGATAAAGAATTTGTGATAGGCCCATAAAAAGATAAAGAAAAGGGCCACAAAACGCAATAATTTTTCTCCAGCAATGCAACAAAGCAAACTAACATAATCCGAATAAAACATATTGACTCATAATTTTCCTCAGACCAAATATTGGCGTTGATGATAATTTATCACTTCGCTTTGCAGATTTCTTCTTAACCGGATAAAAATTACTGGGCCAAAAACTTAAGTCAGGGCTGTGAGAACTTATGGAACTCTTTCAAACGTGACAATTTCATTTTTTACAAAAACAGAACAGACCATATTTAAGTTCATATCCTTGACCACAGTCGGCCCTATAATAAAAACAAATTGAGCGGAAAAGTTCAGAATTGTGATCAATAAAAAAAAGTTATTGCAAACACAGAACAGCATCGAATAAGGTCCCATCCTTTTTTTAAATGCCCTTAATCAGATAAGTTCATTAAATTTTACTTGCCAAAATTGATGACAAGAATCTAACGCTTAAATAACGATAGTTACTTAAGCG